AAGTTGGCTGCTTTTGGCTCCTAGCAGCTTTTTCGGCTAGCTATTTGCATTCCTCGATGGCACGTACCGTCAGTTAGACGTTATGCGCGCCATATGATAATAAACTTCTGGGCACTAGCTCCAGCTCCATCTCTAGCTTTAGCACAGCTCCAGATGTGGCTGCTTCTCTCTCTCTCTCTCTCTCTCTTTCTCGATCCCTCTCTATCTCCATCCAACACTCGCCTGTCTGTGTTGTTGTGTTTTGTTCGTGCTGGAATTTTTATTTAATTTGCTCAACTGTCGTGTAAGCTGCTCGCTGTTGTCTTCCCTGTTTGCTGCATTGTTTGAAATTAATTTCGCTTGTCGTTCCACCGTCGTGTCGTGCGCTCCTCGTCATCCTTGCCGGTGCGCCCTGTGTCTTGTTCCTTGTGCGTGCCGTTGTCAATGGCGCTTAGCTTCGCATAGACGAGGCGTCAGAGCCAAGGACAAAGTTGGCAGCGAGTCCTTGCAGCCTCCCTGCGATTCGCACTCAATCGTTTGGCCAAATCAGCGCGCTAATCATTCTGCCACAGACACTGCTGAGGCAATGCAACGCACTCGCTCAATGACATTCGGGCATGTCAACAGCTTGTCGCTGCGCGCCTCCTCCTTCTCCTCCTCCTCCTCCTCCTCTTCTTCTTTTTATTTTGTGCTCAGCCGGAAGTAGTAAAGCCATAAATGTCATAGAGGAAGCGAGCGGCTTTGGCTGAGCTGCCAACAGCAAGCATGTCGAGTCTAACTTATGTGGCATCCGCATCCCTTCCCATTCCTTTGCATCCCATCCCATCCTTGTCTTGTTGTTCTGCTGTTCGTCTGTTTTGTCATTAATCACCGACAATAATGAACTTCCGCCGTTTGTAGTTGCAAAATGGCGCCGACTTTTGGATTCGGACTTGCAACGGCTGCCAGCAGCCACTCCTCCTCCGCCATTCTTCGTCAGCCTCTGCCATTCTCCGGCGTTGTCATTAGCGCAATGTTGCAAAATTTATCGTGTGACTTATGAGACGAACAGCTGGACAGACAGACGGCTGCCGGGGCCAGTCCAGGCCAAGAGCGCGGCTCTGGTCTCTGTTTTGGTCGTGTGATTTTATCGCTTCGATTTACGACTCATAAAAATGCTAGCGACATCCAAACTGCTTATGCCCAACACTAATTCTCTTTGACTCTCTCTCTCTCTCTCTCTCTCTCTCTCTCTCTCTCTCTCTCTCGCTCTGTTTGGCTTTTTCTGCATTTTGGCGAATATTCGCAGCGTTATTTTTGCCGTTTTCATGCTTGATTTACCATGCCCCATTCCCGTCTGTGACTCCGGCTCCGGCTCCGTCTCCGCGTCCGCCTCCCGTCGGCCTCCGGCTCGGCTGCTGTCTGCGGGACTGTTTGTTGCATGAATGTCTCTATGTACATTTTATGGCCATTTAGTGATGCAGAAAATTTTTGGATATTTCTCTCTCCATTTTGTCGCCCCCAGGAGCCAAATATGAGTCAAATAAACAAATTAAAAGCGCCCTAAAACTATGAGGATTAAAATATAATTTGTAATAGAATATTTTAAAAGAAATTTTTTTAAAGAATTGGTATTAAAATATAAATATAATTATTATACTAATTAAACCATATGAAAATACATATATAATAATACAATATAAGCGAATCATAACCAGATAAACCAGAAGAGAAAGATATATAAAGATGAAAATATAATTTATGAGTTATTAAAATAGAATTAGAAATAAAATATAAATAGAAACAAAATTATTCAAATATTAAAATGAACAAATTTATTAAGCTAAATTAAAAATAATAAATATATTCCTATTTAATAATAATAATTATAATAATAATTTTATAACATAAAAATTGAATAACTTATACACAATGGCTATAAAAATATATTAAAAAATCGTAATTTTTTTTTTATTATATCTATGTAGGAATATTCCCAAACACATATGTATGTAGAGTACAAAATATTCTTTCAATAATTAAAAATTTAAAATAGTAATAAACCAGCTATATACTAAAATTTCCAAAATTTCCAATTCCTATATTATAAATACATTTCAAATAAATGTTGCTTCCATGCACAGCCTCCATAGTGTACACAAATCCTCTGATATCCCCCGAAAGGATTCAAGCCCTACAGAGTAATCAGCCAATTTCTATATCAGCTTTTATTTGGGAGACCATTGAAACCAGCTCTCAGGCTCAAACATCAATTTTCAGAGCAATTTATTCGTAATACAAAAGCCAAGAACAATATGTATCCACTGGCTGGCTGTACGTGTGTGTGTGTGTGGAGGAGGAGGCGCATGCTGCATTTGACAGTTATTAGATTAACACCTACACAGATAGAGCCGGACACTCGAATGGATGTTAGGATGTTCGATTACTCGATACTGCTAGAATTTTAGCAAACAATAAAGCGCTCAAAATGTGGGCGAGCATACATAAAATCTTCAGCAGACAACGTTACGTTGATGGCGAAACAAAACAAAGGCCACTGATGGCGATGTCCGGTACGATGACGCTGACGATGATGTTGGCCCAGGAGCAGCAGCAAGCGATGTCAATTTCAGACAAACAACCCGGCTATATGCAAAACAGCCTTACAAACGCATATATAGACGGTACGTGTGTGTGTGTGTATTGGATATAGATACATAGCTGGTGTAACGCTCAAGATGTGTGACAGCCGCCCACCGATTTGGCTACTGCCCCCAACCCAGACGAATTGCTACATAAAAAGGCGCTTACGATGTGGTTGGGCAATGGAGAGCTGGAGGTGGAGCTGGAGCTGGAGGTCAGTTGAAAGCTGTCAGTGGCTGTTTAGATTTACGTGCCGCAGTGCAGCAATGTCCGACGACAGTCGGAGTCAGAGACGGAGACAGAGTCGGACGTATGGCCATCAAGAGGTGTGACAGCCAACGAACCCTATACCCGGACCCAACCCCAGTTGCACTCTGCAACAATGCAAAAACAACACACACAAACACACACTCACTCACACACACACTCACAGAGTGAGAGTGAGATGGAGAGAGCATTGATTGTCATCGCTCTGACTTTTTGTTAATGAAAGTGTCAGCTAGACAAACGGACCCAAACCAGAGGACATCATTGAACCGGCCACTCCCCCATCTGTACTGAGCTGCGTCCCCCTTTGTGATGGGCCCCTGGAAATGCTTTCCACTTTGGCCAATAAATTATGATCAGGCCGATTTTTAGTATACCTTTTGTATGCATCAAGCCTAACAGCGTATGGTCTCTCCTGTCATTAAAATGTGTCCCAGACAGAATCGCCGAGCGATTGCTTTTGTTTTACTTTGAATAATTCACGGATAGGTGACGTTGAGTTTGTCTACTAGATGCCTCATTTATATATTGCGAGTCCAGTTTAGTGTTAACTATGCTTAGAACACGCAATATTGGTTGAAATAGATCATTTAGTTGCTAATATGTAAGGGATATTAGGTTTTCGTCTGAATGAAAATAAAATTAAAATATACAACTGAAAATGTTTATATGAAAACTATAAAAAAAAAGGCCACAGCTGATAAAAATATATAAAATATTCGAATAATGGAGAGTATATACAAAAACAAGTATTGTATAAACCAAAGACCAGTCTAGAAAGTGCTTTATTTTATAAAATACTTTCAACGTCATATAATTTCCAAATAAATAAATAAACAAATAAATAAAGCTCTATAGACAAACCTCAGCTCGTATTGATCTCGATTTTATTTAATGTAATTTTGTATATAAAAGGAATTCCGGATATAACGACGTTATGGCCGGACTCTACTGTATTACTCTCATTTGTCTGGCGTTTCGTCTTATGTGTATCTATATATATTATATCTAAGTCACATTGCGTGTGGTGTATATCAGATTTTTCCCTAGTCTTCGGAGTCTTACAAAATTAGACCATTGAGACAGATCAGAAAACGAACAAAATATGAAAGTCGCGTAAGAGCGTAGGCAAATATTAACAGATATGCCGCTAACATTCATACATATTTAAGTAACAGTCATTTAACAGCCCATGCCGAACCAGCTTGTCCTAGCCTCTGTTTAACTTCTGTACCTCCATGTAGTCCACATTCTCGTAATATTAACACTTCAATTGGAACAATTAACAAGCCAACAAAATGTGATATCGCCAGCTTGGCATCTCGGATGCCTCTGCCTCATGGCCCATTATCCTAATCGCTTCCAGCTCGATTCTCTTACAGTGGTCGGAGAGTCGTGCCGTATTATAAAATCGGATAAATCGCGACGTGCAACGGCGCTGAATGAAAGTGAAAACCTGTGCGTGGGTAATTAAAAAAGTCAACGTTGAAGAGGATGAGTAGGAGGAGGTGGCGGAGGCGGAGGCAGCTCACGGCTCACAGATGAAACTTAATTCGCATGTTGAATTTTAATTAATTAAGAGCCAAGCAGCTGACGAGAAAGAGGAAGATGGATGGAGAAAGGGGGATAGATAGAAACGGCAGAAAGATAGGCAAGTCACGTGTCTCTGTCGCACCCAGCAGAGGCCAATGTAGGTTAATGCGCTTAGAGAAGCGAACGTAAAGTGGGCGAGTGGTTGGGTGGGTGATTGAGGGCTGAGAGGCTGTGGGGAGACTGAGGAGTCTTTCCTGCTGACGACGTAATTGGTGGCGTTACAAAATATTTACAGTTACCGTAACATGGAAATGGAAAAGATGATAAAGTGCGCAAATGTTTGCACTTTCCCTTTATGGCTCTTTAGAGACATTTAGGTGTTGACTCCCTCCCACCCAGTTGGCCCACGTGTCTGCCTTTTGGCTGCCTGCTGACGTCTTGATAAGCGAATGCCATGGTATATACATATGTATATGTATATAAATAAATAGATGTGAATATATATTTGTATTTTTACTCCAGTAATTTTTGGACTAACATTTCTGTTCGTCAGCCGAGCAGGCTGTGTGTGTGTGTGTGTGTATGTGTGGCAACACTATTTGTATAGAGATCCTCGGCATTCGCACAGCATAGCCCATTCAATCAACAATATTTTGGCCGCAGTCTCAAAACGTCCTGTTCTATTTAAAATAAAAATATACTTTCAGTGCGAGCGAGTTACATAATCACTACACTTTCACAGCCAGGATGAACCCCAACAAGTGCCCGGACCTGCATGAGCGGGCCAAGCGCATTCACGAGCCGGGGAGGATCTGCCGCGAGCTGCTCTACTTGCGCTCCAAGCGGGTAGGTATAGGGTCGTCATGCGATACGCCGAGTAGCTCCACCTGATCTATTCCCCTTGCCAGGCCGTGCGCGAGGTGCCCGCCTTTACCTACCAGGCCCTGCAGAAGGGCACAGTGGTCAAACCGCCCAACAAGTGAGTTGAGTTGCACTGTGAATCGGCTTACGGCCTACAGCAGCTTGTTTTCTTTCCATTGCAGAATTGATATATTTAAGCGTCAGCCCGTCAAGGAGACTGTATTCAAGATCTACTTCATGCGCGGCGACATCCCCGTGGCTCTGTCCGGACGCAGCAATAAGCAGGATCCCACCAAGGACCGCCCACTGCGCTGGCACTGCACGCCCGAGGAGCTCGACTACTGCTACTACTTGCCCATCTTTCTGGACGGGCTGGCTGACATTGACAGCGACACTCGCATGCTGGCGGTCAATGCAGCCGTCGATCTGATCATGAGACAGCCGCACAAAGTGCTCCCAGTGCTGCCCAAGCTAATACTGCCGCTCAAGCGAGCCTTCCAGACCCGGGACAAGCGCATCATCATCTCGGCGCTCCAGGTGCTGCAGCTGATGGTTCGATTGGGTTAGTTCTCCATGCACCCTACTCGATTCGTTCGTTCAGTGTAATTTCCGCTACCTTCCAGGTCCTTGCGTGGGACAAGCTCTGGTTCCCTTCTATCGTCAGCTGCTGGCCGTGTGCAACCTCTACAAGAATGTCAACGTGAATCTGGGCGAGGGCGTCGACCCGGACCGCAGCAAGCGCATCGGCGATGTAATCGAGGACACCCTGAAGCTGCTCGAGTACTGCGGCGGACCCAACGCCTTCATCAACATCAAGTACATGGTGCCGACCTACGAGAGCAGCGTCTTCCCGCGTTGCCAGGCTACCGATGGCCAGGATGCAGCCCCCAAGCATTGATGACTGCTCCAATTTTCTGCCATCTTTTAACAGACTTATTTTGGTTCAGTTGTAATGATTACCTTAACAGAAAATTATCGTCAATTAGACTCGAAATTTTACGCAATAAAGCAAATCATAATTATGCATGACTATGCTACATGCATAAATAATTCACCTTCCGCTTGAAGTCAAGGGAAGAGAGAGAGAGAGAGAGAGAGAAAGGTAGAGATAATGAAGCATCTATTATGTATCTTTCATGACTCAGTAAAAAATACATTTAAGATCCCGGTTTTTGCATATGTCGGAGATGGCTCCGAGTTATTTTACACCATAAGTTATTTCAGCAGCGATAACCTTATTACTTCGAACGCAGCGAGTAGCGATTGTCTTCCCATGTAAATTACATAAATCTCTGACTCATACTTGATAACCCTTACTGAGATTAAGACCTCACAGTCCAGTTGATCACATTATTAAAACTACACTAATCTGTACACAACACAAACAAGTAAAAAAGTCTGGCCTCAGCTCTGTGTTATCAGGCTCTAGTGGAGACTGTTCGACTACCAGATCCCCTGAACCCTTCCAGCAACACACACACGTAAACACACACACACACACACACATTTGTTGAAGAATTTAATTTCTAGACGTACAAAAGTTATTGAAACTTTCAGAACGGGAATCATATTGTTTAAATGTGTCTATATATTCCGAAGCAAGCACAAGTCTCTCGTATTTTAAATACGTCTTTTACAAATATGAGGATGAGGGGGTGGATATAGCGCCTAGGAGTAGATTTTAATAAAAATCGAAATTGTATAAAACGCATTTTAATATACATTTTAAATTTTGAGACTCTAGCTTTACAGATGTGCGAGATAAATTTTAATATATTTTCATCGAACAAAAAATTTCGGAATGAGTTGTCGTTTTAGTAATAAGCTCGATATGCGCGCTGTATATACGGACCTTTTACAAAAAATTGAGGTCTCTAGCTTTTATATCTTCTGAGACCGACGCGTTCAAACATACGGACAGACGGACGGACGGACAGACGGACAGGGCTAAATCGACTC